ACCCGTAGGGTATAATTGTATCTCCATTCACAGTACTGTGTGAATACATATTACTCGCATACATAGAAACATCGTTATACATGTGATTAACGGGATATTATTTTCTGCGCGCTCGCCTGAACATTTGCAGCAGCGCTATTTTGAAATTGTGTTAAGCATTATGGATCGATCAAACCACAGACAACTGTCAGATATCATCGTTGGGCAGGTGTATAAACAGAGGTCAGTTGTCGTAGCCAATTTTGATTGACGTTTGATTGAATGTTGAGTATATGTGCAGATTTGTGGGTCTAAAAATGTTGTATATGTACTGTTCATAAGTGGTGCTGGATTTACACTGTTAAAATTTCGTAGTACTTTCAAAAGTAGAACATGTTTAAATTACCATGAAAAGTGCAAAAATGCATTTTTTTCAAACGATCTGCATAATTGTGTGCATAATTGTGACATTGTGTGCATGATTATGCAAATTAGTCATTCTCACTTCTTGTGTTTTGTAACTGGTCAGTCGAATAGCTCTCAGTGTGTTGTTTTGTTTCCTGCGAAATTCTCACACTATAATCTTGTACATTTACCAAAGCGCGTCTTGGATTGCAGTCTATTTTGTTTTGTTGTAGTCGTGTGTCAAACAGGTGTTAGCCAAGTAATTAAACCTACTCAAGTATTTAACACTGCTGCCATCATTGTAAGTTCGACCCCCCCCCCCAACTGAAAAAAAATAAACGCAAACAATGTCAATTTTAAAACGTTAAAACATTCTTGTACACCTTATTGTTTTGATATTTTAAAATCACTTTTCTTTCAATATATGTTATTTGTAGTAGAGCTCAACACTATTAATAGTGTGAAGCCGGAACTGTGTGGCTGTAAAAAGTAAAAACATAGTACTGTATGATAACTTGACTTAACTAATTGCTCATTCAACATTTTTGAGTGTTTAATTTGTGTGTGCAAATCCCGTGAAGTCATATATATTTAATGGTTAACCATGTTTTACGTTATTATCGTCAGCGACAACCAGACACTATAAGGTATATAATCTTACTCACCTCGTATGCACTGGTCAATGGCAGAGAATGAAACACCGGGACAAAAAACCATGCGACCAGAGGGTAGGACCATATGAATGAAAACAGGTAGGCCGCGTAACCCAGGCCGTAGAGATAAACTTCTGCAGGGTTACCGAGCAAGGTGATGGCCGACATGAAGGTCACCAACATTGACATAGCTACTGGTACTCCCGACAAACTTCTACCGGCCGTCAGGTAACTGTAACAAATTAGACCATCTCGTTATACGTTAATCTGACTCTCTAGACATAGACATGGAGCCAAAATTAAATATACGTAAATAATACTATTACTTACTCTTTGGTTGTGTTTTTCGCTTTCCATCCATGGTATATTCCTTGACAAGCAACGAAGAGAAGGACAGCCACGATGACGACTATGTCAGAAACAAGCAAGCTATAATCATCCGTCATCTTTACACCTAAACTTATTTAATGTGAGCCAGTCACAATGGTAACAATGGTTTCAGGACACTCGTACCCTAACTATCGCATCGATCGAAATGACACATAATTCGCCCCCATGATGCAACGATACCAGCGTGACCTTAAT